TACCAGCAGTATCTAACAGTGTAAAGCCCTGCTGGGATGTCTGTCTCTAGCTATCTCATGAATTACTATTTTACCTCAAGTGTAATATGAAAAGTTGCAGAAGACTATCATGTTTTCTTATTTATCTTTGTTTTCTTTTAACAGGCCAAAATTAATCAGGCCCTCATTTGCCTTTCTCGAAACATTAATCTACAAAGTCAGTCATTGTCACAGCTATTAGTTTGTCAGATATGATTGATGTCTCAGCTTGTTAATAAGATTTCTTTTCCTCCTGCTTATTCATGCTTCCCCAGATGAATCCTCAGTGGTGTATTCTGCCTTGGGTTTACTTAGCTAATTATTAATTTTATGGTTCTGCTTGCAATTTGTTGGAAAGGTACTGTACAGCAGCACAATTATTTTCACAGTACTTAATGTATGTCACTTCACATTGCTCACTACGCCATTTCTCATGGCTTGGATGCTTTAATAAACAGCCGTGACTACATGTGTGGCATCTGGCAATATGCTTGGGGTCGGCTCTTCCTGCAGATATTTTGCAGGCGAGTTTCTCAGGGGAAGTCTATTGTTTCTGTGTTCATAAGCCTGTGCTAGTGTGAAGAGTCCTCTTAGGTGTACATTTAAAAAACTTGTCCATGAACAGCTCTGCTTATCCTTAGTCATTCCTGTTTTCCATGTTTGTCACAGGTTATTTTCTTCCATTAATGCCTTTAAGTGTGATGGGCTGAACCTCTCTGAATCCTGCAAAGAGCTGAGTCCTTAAGCACCCTACTCACCAAAGGTGTTGTGTTCCAGCCAATTTCCTGGCTTTCAGTTTGTGGCTCTGAATATTTCTTTGTTGGCTCCAGTGCTGCATGATGAATAAGATTCAGAAACTTGTCTGTTGATTTAAGAGACATAAATGCAAATGAAAGAAAGTATGTTTAAAAAAGTCACTTGTGGATGTGTGTTAGAATGGGACATCCTAATGCTGTCCAAGCAGCAGCAAGAAAGTGAAGGTTGGAGGCAACCTCTGCACTTCTGCAAATGATCTTGTAAGAGAATGCAGGGTGACAATTCTACTCAAATTTATCCTGATGAAGTTTCAAGATTTGCCTGCTTATACTGTCATGTTAATTCTGTCATCCCTGTTTACTGTATTGCAGCATCTTACTTTTCCTATACCACATCTGGTATCAACCAGCACTCCACGTTAGCTCTCAGTTCCCTGAGACCTGCTGCCTTTCCCTTTTATGGTTTTCTTTTCCCCCAGTCCTTGACTAGAGCTGGCCAACCTTAACTGACTATTAAGGTTTTTAGGTAAAATTTGCGTGTTAGAAATAAGTGAGCAATTGCTATAAGGTTTCCTGTAAGTAGTGCTCTAAAGCAAGACTCAGCAGCCATTTCAGCAGTTTACCGCTTGCGGTGGTTAGGTAGACTCTGCAATGACAGGCAACATGTATGTATCAAACATCTTTCTAGAGGTTTTTTTTTCCCCTGTGAAAAAGGTTTAGATTCTGAAGCAGAATTTTATAGTGTGATAAATAAAAATTAAAGCATAACTGCATGAATACAAGCTTGTACTGATAATGAAAAGAAACGGGAAAGGGCCTTAAAGTGGAAAAAAACCTGCCTTACGTTTAACAAAAATGAATTTTACTTCTGTTGTCACAGGGGTGTTTCCATGTATGTCATCCTTTAGACTAATTGGAATTTTTAAATCTTAGTTAGTTTCTTATGTAATTATAACAAGATGCTCAGACATGTCTTACCGTCTGCCGGCTCTTCTATGTTATCATGCCAAGACATAGGCTTCTTGGTGATCGTGTGAACTGGAAAGAAATGATGCAGGTGAATTACTTTGATGTGAATTTAGCATTACAGCCAGGTGTAGGATATCTATCATTGGAAATGTTCCTTTTGGTTATTCCCCAGTCTGGGCCCAGCTATTTCACTGAAATTGTAAAGGAAGAACAGCATGTTAACAGAACGAGTTAGAGTACTGACTAACAGCAACTTCCTACAAAGGGAAGGGGCGTTAAGCATGCTAAAGGCCCTTCTACTGGATGCTGCCTGCATTCACCACAACTAAGTTCCACCCCACTCAAGTGGTGGCCCGCAGAGTGCCAAGTATCAGGAAATTCTTTTCCTTTGGTTTGTTTTTGTTTTGTTGTAAAAGCTAGACATGAGTGAATCTATTTGTATCACCTGTCTGTGCCAGCACAGATACTCTGTGACTGAATTGGCGGGTAGAGATCAGCTCAGGGGCTGAAGAATGCACTGTTGAGACGCTCTCTACCCTATGTCAGCTCTGTGGTGTTTGCTCAGGATCTGTGGATTCCAGATCCTAAATGGTTGCCTCACACATGTAAATACATGTTTACTAAGGCACTGTCTAATCTGAGCAAATCGGTCACATCTCCATTCTGGAGAAAAGAAAAGCCCGCCAGCTGCTCCTTCCAGATCTACCCCTCGTACTGGCCACTGCTGGCATTCCT